CAATGAACAGGATTGTGCCAGGTGGAAGCCAGGAGCTTATTCTGGGTCTCCCACTTGGGTGCAGGGGCCCAAGCAGTTGGGCCATGCTCTGCTGCTTTTCCAGGCACATTAGCAGGGAGCTGGATCAGAAGTGGGGGCAGCCAGCACTCAAAACTGCACCCACATGGGATGCCGGTGCTGCAGTCTGGGGCTTTAATGTGCTGTGCCAGAGTGCCAGTCCCAATATTGAGTTACTTTTAAAAACAGAAAATTTCTTGTTTTCTACGCATCAAAAATTTTAACAAAATACCTCAAATATTGTAAGGATATATAAAGATAGCCGGCGCCATGGCTCAATAGGCTAATCCTCTGCCTTGCGGCGCCAGCACACCGGGTTCTAGTCCCAGTTGGGGCACCGGATTCTGTCCCGGTTGCCCCTCTTCCAGGCCAGCTCTCTGCTATGGCCCAGGAGTGCAGTGGAGGATGGCCCAAGTGCTTGGGCCCCGCATCCACATGGGAGACCAGGAGAAGCACCTGGCTCCTGCCTTCGGATCAGCGCAATGCGCCGGCCGCAGCGCGCCAGCCGCGCAGCCATTGGAGGGTGAACCAACGGCATAAGGAAGACCTTTCTCTCTGTCTCTCTCTCTCACTGTCCACTCTGCCTGTCAGAAAAAAAAAAAAGGATATATAAAGAGCCTGAATTTTATTGTGTATCCTTATTTTCATTAACAATATACAATCTGCACTACTTTATATTTATTTTTGAACTTTACTTTTAGAAATTTTTTTATAATGACTTATTTAAAACATTATAGACTTAAGATCTTCATATCTCCAACAGGATTTGTTATTCCTCTTTTTATTAAGATTTATTTATTTATTTTGAAAGAGTTAAGAGAGAGGGGGGACCATCTGCTGGTTCACTCCTCAAATTGCCACAACGGCCAGCACTGGGCTTGCTGAAGCCAGGAGCTTCATCCAGCTCTCCCATGAGAGCACAGGCCCCAAGCACTTGGGCCATCTTCCACTGCATTACCCAGGCCATTAACAGGGAAGCTGAAACATGAACCGGTGATCATATGGGATACTTGCTTTTCAGGTGGCAACTTTATCTACTACACCACAACACCAACCCCTGGTTATTCCTCCTGTATCCCATTTAATTGCTTTTCAGTAAGTTTTGAAGGGGTTCAGTGTAAAATTTTTACACCCTCACTATTGGGATGCTGTGAGAATTTTTAAATTATCATAAAATCATTATTCAAAAGGCCAAATCTGTACAGCATTTAGGACAGCCATTGAAGTATCCTACACAGAATAAAATGCAGAAATTTTCTCAAAGGATATTAGAATGAGGAATCTACAACATTAAGTCGATGTAACTCTACTACAGGTCTTGAGATATTTGCATTACTTTGTACAATTCACATATCATCAGAAATATGCCTTGCAAAGGGCTTATGTAACTGGGAAATATTTATCCAGAAACTTCCCCTTAAGCAAATGAGAATACTTCCTTTGAAAAAAATGGGGAAGAGGGCAGGCTCCGTGGCGCAGTAGGTTAATCTTCTGCCTGAGGTGCCAGCATCCCATATGGGTGCAGATTCTAGACTGGCTACTCATCTTCCAATCCAAATCCAGCTCTCTACTATGGCCTGGGAAAGCAGTAGAAGATGGCCCAAGTCCTTGGGCCCCTGCACCCATATGGGAAACCAGAAAGAAGCACCTGCTCCTGGCTTTGGATCGGCGCAGCTCTGGCCGTTGCGGCCATTTGGGAGTGAACCAGTGGATGGAAGACCTCTCTCTCTGTTTCTCCCTCTCACTGCCGGTAACTCTACCTCTCAAATAAATAAATAAAATCTTTAAAAAATAAAAAAGAAAGAAAAGGGGAAGTTAAGATATAAATGGCAATAATACCATTCCACTTATCACGTTAAAAGCCACAAGTTGAAAGCCAGAGCAAAGAAATTAGTTTTTTCTTAATAAAGCACCTTTATTTTCATTAATTAAAATAGATATAATTCTGATATAATTAGAATAATATTTTGCATTTCTATACTTACTTCAAAGTTAAAATACTGATATTGGTCATTTTAATGACATACAGAAATCAACTAATAACAATGCTGGCGAGGATGTGAGGAAAAGGGACACTAACCCACTGTTGGTGGGAATGCAAACTGGTAAAGCCTCTATGGAAGACAGTTTGGAAATTGCACAGAAACCTGAATATAGCCCTACCACATGACCCAGCCACCCAACTCTTTGGAATTTACCCAAAGGAAATTACATTGGCAAATAAAAGAGCTGTCTGCACCTCAATGGTTATTGCAGTTCAATTCACAATAGCTAAGGCATGGAATCAACCTAAATGCCCATCAACAGAAGACTGCAAAAGAAGTTATGGGACATGTACTCTATAGAATACAATACAGCAGTAAAAAAAAAATGAAATCCAGTCATTTGCAACAAAATGGAGGAATCTAGAAAACATCATGCTGAGTGAAATAAGCCAGGCCCAAAGGGACAAATATCATATGTTCTCCCTGATCTGTGACAACTAACCGAGCACCAAAAAGGAAACCTGTTGAAGTGAAATGGACACTATGGGAAACAGTGACTTGATCAGCCCTTGTCCTGAATATTGATGAACAACTTAATACTTTATCCCTTTTAGTATTTTTTTGTTCTGCTTAATACTATTAGTTGAACTCTGTAATTTACACACAATTATTCTTAGATGTTTAAATGTAACTGAAAAGTGATCCCTATTAAATATAAGAATGGGAATAAGAGAGGGAGGAGACGTACAATTTGGGACATGCTCAAGCTGACTTGCCCCAAATGGTAGAGTTAGAAACGTGCCAGGGGATTCCATTCAATCCCATCAAGGTGGCATGTACCAATGCCATCTCACTAGTCCCAGTGATCAATTTCAGTTCAGAATTGATCATAATGATAGGATTAAGAGTCAAAGGGATCACATAAACAAAACTAGGGTCTGCTAATAATAACTGATAGAATAAAAAAGGGAGAAAACAATCCAAATGGGAAGCAGGATACACAGCAGACTCATAGAATGGCAGATGTCCTAAATAGCACTCTGGCCTCAGAATCAGCCCTTAAGGCATTCAGGTCTGGCTGAAGAGCCCATGAGAGTATTTTAGGCATGGAAAGCCAAGACACTGTGGCAAGAAAAATGACCTAAATGAAAGATCTCTGTGAAGGAGATCCCAGTGGAAAGAACAGGTCATCAAAGAAGGAGGTACCTTTTTCTGAAGGGAGAAGAGAACTTCCAGTTTGACTAGGCCTTGTCTAAATAAGGTTGGAGTTTGTGAACTCAAGAGGCTTCCATAGTCTTGGCAGCCCATGACAAGAGCCTCAAGTGATTACTGATGTCATAAATAAGTGTGCCAATAGTTAATTCAACGACAGGAGTAACTCTGTCCTTAATGTGTTTTCAATGAGAATTAACAGTAAAGCTAGTATTCCAACAGTACTTAATACTTTGTGTGTCTGTGTGAGGGCAGTCTGTTGAAATTTTTACTTAGTATATACTAAGTTGATCTTCTGTATATAAAGATAATTGAAAATGAATCTTGATGAAGAATGGGATGGGAGAGGGAGTGGCAAATGGGATGGTTGTGGGTGGGAAGGAAGGTATGGGGGGAAAAGCTGCTATAATCCAACAGTTGCACTTTGGAAATTTATATTTATTAAATAAAAGTTGAAAAAATACTTATTTTGGTCATTTTAATGACCGACAAAATTTGTTTTCTCATTTAATAAATCATGCTGTGTTTATTTTCATCTCATCCTGCTAATAAATTGAATAAATTACTGGTGCCTGCTATTCCTACTTCTTACAACATTGTGACTACATGCATTATATAGAATATCTACCAACTCTACATTTTAATATAATCCTTTAGACAAATCACCAAAGGCTATTTTAGGTCAAAGGGACATTTGTACATATTCAATCATCTATACCATTTCAATATATAAACCCAATCATTCAAACTGATATGTCCATGGTTCTACAGAGAGTAAGGTAAATATAGATGGCCTCCGACTTATAAAGGTTCAACTCACAATTTTTTACTTTGTTATGGGGAGGTAGCAACAGAAACCATACTTTGAATTTTGATCTTTTCCTGGGCCAGCCATATGCAGGGACATGATATTCGATTGCTAAGTTATGATGTTTGCTAAATTAGGAGTACTAAATGCATTTGGACTTAGGATAGCTTTATTGGGACATGATTCCATTTTAGGTTCAGAAGCAACTGAGTATAATCTTAATAATATCTTATTAAAATTGAGTGGCTTTGCTCTTGCTGCTCATATTTTAAGTGAAGAGATTTTCCTTTCACATTGAATTCTGAATAAGACACATACACAGGAGTGTCCTCTTATTTTACTGATATAAGAGGAACCTGACTGAATACAGAACTCAGGAAGTGGTAAAGATGCCAAAGCTTAATGTAAATTGGAAGATATTTTTGTAAGTAAAAACTTCAATGAGGCCGGCGCCATGGCTCACTAGGCTAATCCTCCGCCTTGCGGTGCCAGCACACCAGGTTCTAGTCCCGGTTGGGGCGCCGGATTCTGTCCCGGTTGCCCCTCTTCCAGGCCAGCTCTCTGCTGTGGCCAAGGAGTGCAGTGGAGGATGGCCCAAGTGCTTGGACCCTGCACCCCATGGGAGACCAGGAGAAGCACCTGGCTCCTGCCATCGGATCAGCATGGTGTGCCGGCCACAGCGTGCCGCCCGCGGCGGCCATTGGAGGGTGAACCAATGGCAAAGGAAGACCTTTTTCTCTGTCTCTCTCTCTCACTGTCCACTCTGCCTGTCAAAAAATAAAAAATAAAAAACTTCAATTATCATTTTTAGTTTAAAAATATTTCCTTTTTTCATTATGAAAGCAATGAAATCCTAGGTGTTTATGTCAAATCTTTTATAATCCCATCTTTCTCCCTCTCCACCCTAAAAAATATACCAAACACAAATTAAAACGTACCTGTTGGGAGAGGCACTGCTGGTTCTTCTTTGACAGAGTGATGGGATGACAGACAATTCTCTGTGAGCACAATGTCATCAAGTGCAATATCACCATGGTAGCCTTTCCCTACTCTTCCTTCAAATTTGAGTTGGAAGTCCTCATCACCAAACAGTGGCAGTTCTTCTCTCTTCCAGAAATTGCCTTGTTCTGCAGTGAGGTTAAGGAGGACCTTGGTTTGGTTTGAGACTGATACCTGGATCAAGCTGAGAGCCCCAATGCCATTTCCATACATGTGATAATGAAAAATGATCTGTAACCAAGAATAGATTATGTATGATTACGACAATTAACTCCATTTTATTTGTAGATATATCACATTACTTCCAACTTTATTAACAGATTCTAGAAGGAAAATAATATGTGCATGTCCTTTTGCTCCGTGTGTACTTTACCACCAAATGAAGACAGGATGGCCTTGAATCACAAGTTTTGATATATGAAGGAATACATGAAGAGACAGAAATTTAGGAGGAAAAATGAACTGTGTTTACTTTCTATAACTTCTAAAAGCAGGATTCCTCAAAGCAATATTTTGAATCCAAAATGCATGTTAAGAACTGAATCCCCACTGCTCTAAGTGTTGACAGGTGGGATCTTTAACAGGTGATTACAGGTCACAAGGCTCTGTATTAATGTTACTGTTGCAAAGTGGGTTCATTATGAAGAAAGTAGGTTTGTTACAGAAGTAAATTCAGCACCCTCTCTTTGTATAATCTTTCTTGCATTCCCCCTCTGATATTATATCACACAGCAAGAAGGCTCTCGCCAGATGCAAGCACCTCAAACTTGGACTCTAAGCCTCCAGAACTGTAAGAAACAAATCTCTGTTCTTTATAAATTAACCAGTCTCAGGTACTCTGATACAGTGGCTCAAAATGAACCATGACACTTGATAAACTCTCAAAGCCCACATTAAAGGAATAAAATAGCACTCGATAGCAAAGTATTAAAAAGACCTTCTGGGATTGGCATTGTGGCATGGCCAGTAAAGCTGCCACCACCTGCAATGCCACCATCCCATACAGATGCTGGTTCATGTCCCAGTGGCTCCACTTTCAATCCAGCTCTTTGCTAATGGCCTGGGAAAAGCAGCAGATGACAGTCCAAGTGCTTGGACCCTTGCCACCCATGTGGGAAACCCAGATAAAGCTCCTGGCTTCAGTCTGGCCCAGTCTGGCCATCACAGCCATCTGGGAAGTGAACCAGTGGACGCAAGATTTTTCTCTGTCTCTCTCTCTCTGCAACTTTTTCAAATACATAAATAAATCTTTAACAATATGTAGCAGACACTAAGGAGTTCATTTCCCCCTCATGAAACTTAAATAATTCTCATTGAAGTAGAACACTCACTTGCTTATTCTACTACATTCTTGTACTGGAAACAATTTATCCTAGTTCTACAAGACCCCCAGGACTCCACTACACACAATAAAACCACCAGAACACAATTATCCAACTTTTACATGAAATGCTAGAAGCAGCCTTGGGAGTTCTTCCTAACAATAAGAGATTTTCAGAGATCAACAATTTAATGTTTTAAAGATAGAGTTAACTGTATTTGCAGGCACTTTTATGTACAGCATCAAAATCTGAGAACATTTGGAGGAAAAATGCTTTTTAAGTTTTTGTCTTCTGATTTATATGGATTAGAAAAAATTTTAGTGGATGAATTTCACAAGGAAAAGACATTTTTGAAATACTAGCTGTCATCTATAGCATACTCAAGGCAAGTGAACTTGTTTTAAAAAATAAATAATTGGCCGGCGCCGCGGCTCACTAGGCTAATCCTCCGCCTTGTGGCGCCGGCACACCGGGTTCTAGTCCCGGTCGGGGCGCACATTCTGTCCCAGTTGCCCCTCTTCCAGGCCAGCTCTCTGCTGTGGCCAAGGAGTGCAGTGGAGGATGGCCCAAGTGCTTGGGCCCTGCACCCCATGGGAGACCAGGATGAGTACCTGGCTCCTGCCATTGGATCAGCGTGGTGCACCGGCCGCAGCACGCTGGCCGCGGCGGCCATTGGAGGGTGAACCAACGGCAAAGGAAGACCTTTCTCTCTTTCTCTCTCACTGTCCACTCTGCCTGTCAAAAAATAAATAAAAATAAATAAATAAATAAATAATTGATTAAACAGTGTATACTGTGCAATGCTTCAAAAAATATCAACTAAAAATTGACGAACCATAGTGACTACATCCAAATTTCCAAGCAGATGAAATAATCAAATATTATTCTATGATCCAAAATTTCTTTTAAGTTTTCAAACATGAGAAATTTTATAATCACTGAAAATTGTCCTGAGAATGATGAAACCTGTGGGGTGGTGCTGACCCATTTTAGTGAAACGGAGAGAACTGTCAGCATCAATAAGTACCAGAAGATACAAGTGCATGGCCCACCTCTACATGGCTCTCTAGCAGCCACATGCCTGGTCTACTCAGTGTTCTGTTTTATTACCATCACCATCTTTGTGTGACAATGATGAAGAGTATGTGCTTCTGTCTCAGTAAATACTTCTCTGTCTTATTAAGGTCATCTCTTGATTGATAATATCAGGTTAAGATGAAAAACCAGTCAACACCTCTATTCCCAAGGGAACACCAATGACAATGTAATATGTATCACACAATAACACACATACAAATCCTGTAAATATTACCTTTTGTAGAGAGGTATTTTCACTGGGAATTCAGTTACTCAGAGGTCTGACTTCTTTCATCAATCTCTCTCCATCTTTCCTATTCCCTTATTCCCTCAATACATGAAATATATTACGACAGATATAAAAACCCAAAGCTAAAACAAAAACAAAAACCAGTTTTTTTGTAGGGAAAAAAAAACAAGAAGACAATGACTGTAGTAGGGTGTTGAAGGCTGGTCAATGTGTCTCCCTTCCAGAGTGAGGGATCCTTCTATTGTGGACACAGGTTTAGCAGAAGAGTGCAACTTAAAAACAGAAAGATCACTTAACTCTTTCCAGATCTGACTTGGTCAGCTAACAGCTTTCTAGATGTATTTTTGCTCTCTTTTCAGTCTTCAAATAGTAGGGAACCCCTAGAGAGAATCTAGGTGTGCAGAATTTATAGAGATTACATTTCATGTGGTATTTATGAAGCATTCTCTTAGAAGTAAGGTTCTTGTGAAGTCATCTCTGAGAGCTTAATTTATATTGTAACTTAAATAAACTTAAGTTCTAGCCCAGTTGACTCAAATCTGTTATGGAAAATAAACAACACAAACAATGAAAAAACTGAGTGGAAAACCCAGCAAGTATGTGTCATATGTGGCCTTTGGCACCAAGAGCCACCCAGTGCTATTTATAACTTTTTTTCTAAAGATTTATTTTTATTTATTTGAAAGAGTTACAGAGAGAAGTAGAGCCAGAGAGAGCAGCCTTCCACCCAGTGGTTCACTCCCCAGATGGCAGCAATGGGCAGAGCTGAGCTGATCTGAAGCCAGGAGCCTCTTCCAGGTCTCCCATGTGGGCACAGGGGCCCAAGGACTTAGGCCATCTTCTACTGCTTTCCCAGGCCATAGCAGAGAGCTGGATGGGAAGTAGAGTAGCCGGGACTTGAACCGGCTCCCATATGGGATGCCACTTCACACACCTTTTCTTCTAATTTTCAAAGGCTAAGGACCATATTTTCTTTTTGTTTATAGAAATGTACCTTTTTTATGGATACATTCAGTCTTTTCTATGAAGAAAACTTTAACCATTTCATGTAGCTCTAACTAATCTGTAATTCTTGATAATATTTTATACTGCTTTTTAATTTTTTCCTGTTGGTGAAATTCCCATGGTTCCAATAATCACTACACTTTGAAGGAAAACAACTGGTATTTCACTTTTTTGTATTATCCATGGTTTCAAGTTATAACCATGAAATTCCCAATGGTTTTCAAAATTCTGAAATGTATGAAATTATCTATTGGAAATTCTTCTAAGATTTCAAATAAATCTTCCCTTTCATTCTAACTCTCTCTTTTCCATTTTTCACATATCCCAACTAGAGAAAATTTTAACTCCTCTTTGTTCTGGCACCAGCTATTCTACTTTCTGTATTTGGTTTCACCAACAATTACAAAATCTATCATTTTTCCATACCTTGCAATTTTTGCTTCTCTTACTTATAACTGGACTTGAAATTCTAGCTGCTCTCATGGGCTGCTGTGGGAACAAGCTCTTTATGAAGATGTAATGCCCAGATGAATTTCCCAAGGTGTGGTCTGCCACTGGCTCTGTGCCTGTGGCAAGGATGCTGCTAGCTTTCAGATTCCAGTCAAAGTCTTCATCCTGCTCCTGTTCCCAGGCACAAAGGTCAAACTCAAAATCGCAGCGTCCCCTGGAGGTACCTGGAAAACATTTTCAATCTTATGTTAGAGGATATTGGCTGACTTGAAAGCATATGGTCCACACTTAACAGTGATCTTGCTGTGTCATGTAATATTCAAAACCTTGCAATACTACCTTTACAGCACCATTTAAGAAGACTGTTATACACAGCTATTTCCATGACTCATGTAAATTGGTTGCCCCACAAATCTCATCCCAGACTGAGAATTTTGAGAAAATAATTCAGCATTACATACATTACCTCCTCCAAACACCTAGTGAGTCATTTTATTCTATTTTATCACCTTTGCTTTTTAGGTCTTGGCTGAGAATTTAGGATGTTTATTATTCTAGAATACACTTTAGTTTGGCAATCATGTCCTAAGGCAAGAGTTACCATTTATTGTTATTGTGTTAGAACAGATCCTCACATTAGAGAGGAGAAAATTGTCAAACACAAAATGCTAATGATTTATTGATTTGAATTAATTTACAATAATTTGAATGAAATGCAAATAAAGTTACACTGAAACTATCAACAAGTGTTTTCAAATATTACATTACTAATATTGCTCAAGTTGTGCTTTCTTCCATTTCTAGAATGGTAGGAATTACACATAAATATTTTTACAATGCTGTAGGTAAATTATAAAGCTAACAATGGTAACAAAGATGTTATAAAACTAGGCAATACTGTATGAAGGGTTCATATTTTACAGAATTAAATATGATATGCTTGGGACACTATTGTTATTCTGTAAGTAAATACACATCATGATGCATACCAATATGTAATTTTATTATCGGTAATAAAATGTATTTAGAATTCGACAACAATACTTTTTTGTTCAGTTCTGTTTGATTATTACAACCGAATTTAAATTATGTAAAAACACAGGTATATTTGAGATTGTGTCTAAAGCTATAAAAATGTTTATTTACTTGAGAGGAAGAGTTACAGAGAGACACAGAGAGAGGTCTTCTATCCACTGGTTCACTGCCCAAATGACTCCAATGGCTGGAGCTGGGCTTATCCGAAGCCAGGAGCCGGGAGCATCTTCTGGGTCTCACACACAGATGCAGGAGCCCAAGGACTTTGGCTATCTTCTACTGCTTTGCCAGGCCATCAGAAGGGAGCTGGATTGGAAGTGAAGTAGCTGTGACTTAAGTCAGCGCTCATATGGGACGCTGGTGCCAAAGGCAGAGGCTTAACCTACTACACCAGAACACTGGCCCCCAAAACTATAATTTCTTAAGAATACCCTGTTGTAACATATCAACACATATTCAGATTTCTCTCTTATAGAAACTCAGTTGAGTAGCTGCTCAGAAATCAAATCATTTTTATCTACATGAGATTAAAAATCATTCTCCCATCTAAACACTATGGACCTGTGGTTCAGCACACTGACCATAGACGTCTATTAATCCATCCTACAGAATCAACCATAGTTCCTCAACAAAAATATACTCTATTTACATAGGATTCTGAGAATTTCAAAATCTGAGTGCTTGACATCAAAACACTGTTTTCTTTTTGGATATATTCTCACAGTTACCAAAGGTCATACAAAATTGTTTAAATACATAAACTTTATATTCTTTGCAGTAAATAAAATGGAGAGTAACAAATGTTGAGTTTTATTACTATTTCTATACCCCTGGTGGGTTCATCTTACTAAAATTAACAATGGTTGTATCACATCTCATAGCAAGAAAGGTGGCCAACAAGGAAAATGAGATTAAGATCATAATTTTTAGCTTTTGTAAGATCAACAAAAGGTGGTAAATTTAAGAAAACATCAGGACTAACATGCTTTTTTAATTGTTTTAACAGGCTAATACTGATGTGTGATATTTTCAAGGACAGAGTAATTTTTGCTAGCACCAAGTCAACAGAATGTCATTTTCTATACAATTGCTAATTCAGGGTTTTTTTTGTTTTGTTTTTGTTTTTTAGATTTATTTGAGAGGCAAAGTTATAGACAAAGAGAGCTCTTCCATCTCCTGGTTCACTCCCCAGATGGCTGCAAGGACTCGAGCTGGCCAATCTGAATCCAGGAGCCAATAGATTCTTTCAAGTCTTGCACTTGGGTGCAGGGGCCCAAGCAAACTAGGACCATCTTCCATTGCTTTCCCAGGCCATAAAGAGAGAGCTGGATCAAAAGAGGAACATGAACTGGCACCCATAAGAAATTACGGGTGTCACAACTAGAGGCTTAACCTACTAAATCACAGAGCCAGCCCTACCAATTCAGTTTTAAAACTACATTTGAAGGGCCAGCACCGTGGCACAGTAGGTTAATCTTCCACCTTCGGTGCCAGCATCCCATGTGGGTGCCAGTTCTAGTCATGGCTGCTCCTCTTCCAATCCAGCTCTGTTATGGCCTGGGAAGGCAATAGAATATGGCCCAAGTGCTTGGGCCCCTGCACCCATGTCAGAGACCCGGAAGAAGCTCCTGGCTCCTGTTTTCGAACCGGCGCAGCTCTGGCCATTGCAGCCATCTGGGGAGGGAACCAACGGAAGGAAGACCTTTCTCTCTGTCTCTCTCTCACTGCCTGTAACTCTACCTCTCAAATGAATAAATAAAATCTTTAAAACAAAAAACATTTTAAAAGCATTTTTAATTTATTCTTTCTTAAAATAGACTGCAAGACTTATAAGCCTCTTTCAGTGTAGAACTTTAAAGTTTTCCTCAGTGTCCTTTCAGAGGACTGCAGAGTAGATAGATCTCACTAAATATTAAACCCCAACTCAGCAACTAGGTTAGAATCTGTTGTCTTAGGACTGACGCTGTGATGTAGTGGGTAAAGCGGCCGCCTGCAGTGCCAGTATCCCATATAGGCACCAGTTCGAGACCCGGCTGCTCCACTTCTGATCCAGTTCTCTGCTATGGCCTGGGAAAGCAGTAGAAGATGGCCCAAGTCCTTGGGCCCCTGCACCCATGTGGGAGACCCAGAAGAAGCTCTTGGCTCCTGGCTTCAGATCAGCACAGCTCCAGCCCTTGAGGCCAGTTGGGGAGTGAACCAGCGGATGGAAGACGTTGCTCTCTCTCTGCCTCTCATTCTCTCTCTGTGTAACTCTGACTTTCAAATATATAAATAAATATTTAAAAAAAAGAATCTGTTGTCTTAAGAATTATAAAGTAAGTAATTCGGTTGTCTGTGTTGGAAAATTAAGCAGCCCGTAAAGACCAGACTACCGTACTTTCCAGTAGCTGCACATGCTACAAAATAACTCATTTTTTAAAAAAAATCATATAAACATTGCTACAGGTCTCCTCAAAGTAAATTGTATTTTTCTTTTCATCATTACCATGGTCTTAGAGACATGTTTCCTTGGAATAGTATAATTCTAACAAATCAGTAGGAAAAAAGATAGAATAACCAAGAGTAAGTCGAATTCCATATTACTGTGAGAGAGGGAGTTAAATTACACATTTCACTATTTCTCATAAGTTCCAGGTGAGAAACAATGCAAATAGTCTTGGGAACATGTCAACTCCTGGCATTTTATGTGCAATAAATGCCAGTGCCAGACAGGTGTGCAATAAGGAAGATATTTATCATTTTTGTCTGCATGTGTTTCAGCAATCAAAGCAGCAATCTGCCTTTCTGCATGCTATAACTGGTACATTAGTTAATATCTGCATAAGGATATAATATTTCCTTTACAAAGGTAGAATTTTGAATGAACATAACCTAATTGTTTTTAAGGTATTGCCATCAAAATTCTAAAAATAAGACCTCATTATTCCTAATCCTTTATTTGTTCCATATAAATTTAATCATCAAAATATATAAATAAAATACATTTAGGAAAATAGGAAACAAGTTGGAAAGGGGACTTCTGTGTGTAGAATGTAACAGGTCATGTCTGAGCATTCTCTATGTGCCATCTTATTTAAATCTTGACTCACCTCTATTCAATAGTTTGAGTGGATGATGTACAAAATGAAGTTGAGAATAAAGTTTGCTAGGGATCACACTGCAAGTCGCAGAACTATGAGCTGAAAAAGGCTTGACACATTCCCCATAGCACTATTACCCTTTATGTAGTATATACCCATATAAGAGTATTTCTAATGTTAACAATGTATATTCTTGAATTTGATCTTAAGATGTTTAATTTTGTTTAAAAATTTGAAAATTGTAACAGCATTTTATACAATAAAACTAAAATAAAAGGCCTGTAATTAAATTGTAAATCTTTGCAAAAGAACTTGCTTTGGGTAAATTCCAAGGAATGGGATGGCTGGGTTGTATGGTAGAGTTATATTCAGGTTTCTGTGGAATCTCCAAACTGACTTCCATAGTGGCTTTACCAGTTTGCATTCCCACCAATAGTGGGTTAGTGTCACTTTTTCCCCACATCCTCACCAGCATCTGTTGTTGGTAGATTTCTGTATGCAAGCCATTCTAACCCAGGTTAGGTGAAACCTCATTGTGGTTTTGATTTGCATTTCCCTGATTGCTAGTGATCCTGAACATTTTTTCATGTGCCTGTTGGCCATTTGGATTTCCTCTTTTGAAAAATGTCTATTGAGGTCCTTGGCCCATCTCTTAAGTGGGTTGTTGTGGGGGAGGCTAAATTCAGAGAGGCCTTGAGGAAACTTCCTGAGCCTGCCTCAAATTTGAAAACCTGTCTTTAAGTTTCAAATTCCTGCCAGTAAAAGACCCAGCCCCAGGGCACTTTTGCCTAGTGATCATTAAGGTGGTATAATAGGAGTGGCTAAAACCCTTTCACATCATATCACCCCACCCCTTGCCCGCATCCACTTGCTCTGTACCACAGCTATATACACACCTCCCTTTTACAATAAAGTGAGATCCTGCTTTGACTGGGCTCCCCACCACATCTGATTGTCCCCAGAGGTTTGGGGAAGGCTGAGTGGCAGGTGGCGCACTTCCCCTCCTGGGCCAAGGCAAGCTGCAGGCAGTCTGCCTAATTCTCCTGTGGTAAGGAGGAAGAGTCACCACAGTTGTTGTGGAATTTCTTGATCACTTTGTAGATTCTGGC